TTAAAGCAAAAATGAATAAAGAAATTTATATAATCTCAAATATTATAAAAAAATATAAAAACATTACTTTTCAAAATATAGAGATTATTAATAATATAAAATCAAATGAAATTATAATAAAAACCTTCTCGAATAGATTTAAGAACCTAGAAAACTATCTATTATAATATAAATAATTCAATCACTTTAGTCTAAAAAAGATATAAAACCTTTATAAAATTATTATACTAGGAAAGTTAATCAAAGTTCTATTTAAAATCTCTATATACAAAGTTTGTATATTTATTAAAATAAAAAATCTAATCCCGAAATAATTCAGTTTTTATAAAACAAAAAGATTAGAACTTATTCATTTTAATATTATTAGTTTATTTTTAAAATCTTTATAAGGAAATCGCTATTTCCTATTAATTATAAATAGTTAAATAAAAGTAAACTGGATTTTGATTCTAAAAACAAAAAACAAAGCTATATCAAAATTAAAGAAATAAAAAATTGAATTAGAACTGAGTATAAGTAATAAGATATTAATAGCTTAAACTAATAATATATCAAAGCTAATTCAAACTATTAAGAAATGAAACTTTGGGATCTAATTAAAACTAATTATTATAATATCATTTTATTAGAATAAAACTATTAAAAGAAATATTAGTATTATTAAAGCTAATATAAGAATTATATTAAAAAAGATTAGATTATTATTAGAATTTTGGAATAAAACTATTGAATATAATATATATTACAGAAATAAAACAAATATTGAATTGATTATTAATAATAATATTATTAGTTTTATTAAAGTATTTATAAAATCAATTTCGGATATTAGTTATTATAGAATATGGGGAAATAAATACTATATATATATTAATCCAAAGATAATCCCAAAGGATTAATAATATAACAAATTATAAGATATAGCCCAAATAAATATCTTTATAGAATATTTATATATAACTAATAAGTATATTAAAGTATACTTACTAAAGTTAGATTATACTATATAAATAAGCCAAATAATTATAAATAAATCCAAAAAAGGGAAAGATCTAAATCTAAAAATAAGAAACTTTATATTAGAATCTTAAAATATAAAAAATATTATTCCTAATAAGAAATCAAAAGACAAACCTCACAAAATATAAGAAATACAAAAATCCTTATCTAAATTATTATAAAATACTACTATCTCTGAATACCCAAAAATTATAATCCCTAATATACCCAAAATTGATAGTATTTAGTAATTCAATAAAAATAATAAAAAAAATATTATTAAAATCAATCCTTCTATAAAACCAATTTTATTTTTAGAAATAGAAAAAATAAAGATATTAAATATAATATTTATAATTAATAAATCTTTAACTAAAACTTTAATTATATATATAAATATAGATCCCCCTAAAAAATACTATTTTCGAAAATGTAAGTGAAATAATAATAAATTAGATAAATATATTCAAAAATTAATAAAAGTAATAATAATAATATTTTTAATAAACTTAAATGAAAATATTATTGAATATATTATAATCTTTATACTCTTTACATTAAGAATTGATTTGAACATTAAAACGAAATTATCCGAAAACCTTTAATTAATCTTAGAAAATTTGATAAATAAGGATATAATCTTTTCTACAGAATAGATTCTAGATATTCTTATTTTTATTATATATAATTAAATAATTTTGGATTTTAAATATAGAGAAAAATAAAAGTAAGCTATTGAAGAGGAAATCAGTTTATTGATTATAAATAATATTTAAAAAGAATATATTCTACTGAAAGATAAGAATCTTGTTTTAATTAAATAGATATTCACAATAAAGATAAAGGATAATAAAATTAAAAGATTCAAAATACAATTAATAATAAAAGGTTTTAGTTAAATTCTTGAAAAAGATTATAATGAAATATTTGTTTTTATAATACAACTCGATATATTCTATTTGTTTTTAGTGATTACTATAAAAAAGAATTTGAAATATTAATACTTTAATATAAAGAATACTTTTATAGAATTCCATCTTAAAAAAGAAATATACCTCATATTACCTTAGGAAATTAATATATTAAATGAATATATTTTATATATATTATAGAATTTATATAATCTTAAGCAAACTAAATAAAATTAGAATCAACTTTTAAAGTCCAAATTAATTAATTAAAGCTTTATTCAAAATTTCGCTAATTTATATTTATATATATATATTACTCAACAATTCAATCTACTAGTTTATATTAATAATATAATTACTTTCTTAATCTCAAAAGATCAATTTAATTAATTCTTTATAATACTCTTCTTATATTTCAATACTAAAAACTTAGGGGAGATTAATAAGATTCTAGATATTAGGATTATAAGAAATCAAATAAATAGATTATTTATATTAAACTAAAAAAAGTATTTGAAAACTATATTTACTAAATTCGAAATCTTATATATTCAGTATTATACTAAGAAAATATCTATTATTAATTATTTATATTTATAATCTACTATAAAAAATAATAAATTAATTGATATTATTGAATATCAATAAGCCATAGGTAACCTTATTTATTTAATAGTATATATAAAACCAGATATTTTCTTTGTATTAAATCAGTTATTATAGTATATAGCAAAATCAGTGAAATATTATAGAATAGAAATAAAAAACTTAATATGATATTTAAAGGCTATAATCACTTAGAAACTCAAATACAAATCTGAGGGAATATAATACTAAATTGTAAAGAAATATAATCTATTAGCAAATATTATAAAAGTCTTTATTAATACAAATTAAATAAATAATTGATATAATTAGAAAAGTATTTTTAGGGGAGTTACTATATTTTATAAAGAATTGATATTGTGGGTTAATAAGAAACAGAATTTAATAATAATATTAAATACTAAGTTCGAATATATATTAATAGTGATATTTATTAAACAAAGAAGATAATTAATTCAAATACTTAAAGATCTTAAAAAAACAAAATATATATTTGTACACGGAAATACTATTCAATTGTTAGGTAATAATCAAGAAGTAATAATTCTAATCAAAAACCTGTATTTATATAAACAATTAAAGTATATTGATATATATTACCATTTCATTAAGGATTTTACTGAAAAAGAAAAGATAGTGATTAATTATATCAATATATTGAATATAATAGTAAATAGAATAATTAAATTTCTAATAAAAATAATATTCAAAAGATTCAAAAAGATATTAGAATTAAAATAATAAAAATATAAAGAATTAAGGAAATCAAAGATAATAATTTTTATAAAAAAGTATTAAAAAGAATAAAAGTTATTAATACTAATTATATACTATAATTAGTAATATAGTTATTTAAACAGGCTAAATTAGACAAACTATAGATAGGCATATTGATCCCCTCTAAGGGGAGCAAGATAGGACTAAGATGTCTACACACGTAGTAATATAGTTAATACAGAGGCCTCTTCCACCTAAATCTTTTAATATAATATTCATTTAACATATTAAAACTCTAGAATCAAAACTTAACTAATTTTTACTAATTTTAATTCTATAAATATAAACTTTATTAATAAATATTTAATACATAAAGGTTAGTATTTATTTAATTGAAATCGAGGTTTTAATATCTCAATTTTCGATATAATCAATAATCATTTTATTCAAAACTCATTTACTAATATAATTATTTTTTCGTTTAATGATTTAATTAATTATTTATACAAAAATCAATAATTTAAAGAGATACATTAATATAAAATTTTATAATTATTATCGAAATTGTTAAGTTTATTTGAAGAATCAATTTCGCGCAAATTTTATTGAGGTTATCATACAGCTCTTATAGCTCTGAATTTATAATATATTAAATATATTATTAATTAATTTATTAAACCTATTATTAAGACGTATAGACCTAAAGTCTTATTAATTCCGTTACTAGTATATTACTATTTATATTAATTATTTATACTCTCTTCAATTAATTAGTTTAAAGTTATAAATAGTATTTTGAAATATACAGATTAGAATTAAATTTTGATTTTCATTCTATTATTTTTTAATAAATATTAATTAAATCACTTAATATCATTATAATATTACAAAGACTCATCATAATAAAAATAATATATTATTATTTTAAAAATTAAAAAAATCTAAAAATATAAGAAAAATAAGATTTTCTTTATAAGTCTTTATGTATACTATAATACTATTATAATATTAAATAAAGAATTCTTTATTCAAAAAGAAATTCTTTATTAGTTCTTTATTGAAAACTATAAAGTTAATATTTTGAAAAATTTGAAATATGACATATGAACTAGTCCATATGCGGCCTGACAGATAATATAATAAATTTTCTTTATTATAAAAAATCTTATTTGAAATCAAAATTTGATTTATAATCAGATTCATAATCTGATTTAAGATAAAAAAAGAAATCACAGTATAGTATATACGCATATTAGTATTTAATATACAGGGGGTTGAAAAGGCATAAAATAAGAGCTTACGTCCCTATAAAAAGGAATTATTCTAGTACCCACTTTCTAATATTCTAAATATAATATATATATACTTAGAGATCAATTTAATCTCACTATAAATAGTGATTCTATTATTATATTCTACAAGCCTAAGCTTCTCTTATAGTACTATTTATGAACTATTCCCAATCAAGCCTAGTTTATCACCTGCTAAGCGTACAGCCTGCTATACATTCAAAGCATTTTAAGATCAAAATAGTAAAAAGTAAAATTCATTATATTTCCATTTTAAATCAAATATTACATTGAAATAATATCGAAACAATTTTGTAAGATGTTCGTCTCCTATATATAACATTAAACATATAACAACTAGCTTCAAATCATTAATAATACAGCTCTCCTGTAAATGGAATCTAGAGGAGCAAACCAGAATGACCCAATCAATTATTGTTGAAAAATATCCTAGAGCAAAGACTCCTCCCTTTCAAGTTTATTCTCTGAACCATTTTTCCAAAGCATTGTTGAATTCGACAGTATTAAACGTATCATTGTCTTCTAATATCCAAGCAACGACACCGTCAGGCCGTACTACCAAAGCCCGCAGGCCACATTTTATCATTGCTCCTAAGTTGATAATATCTATTGTGTTTGTGTACTTATCATCAATTGACTCATGGAGTGTCGCATTGTTCTCGAAATCCACCAGCAAACCTCGTCCACTTTGTAATTTCGAGCCTAACCTCGAGCCGTCAGCCAGCTCGAAATCTGGAGCACTGGCCCCAACAAGTGAATTGGTATAACTATCCCCTTTTCCGAGAATATATCGCTGTGATAGACCCCAGATACGGTCGAGAAACAGATTAGTTCCATCCGGAGTATCAATGAGGTCACGAATAAGAGTCTGAATAGCCGCTCCATACAGATCAGGCTGCAACATAGCAACTTGCGCACGAGTCCACTCAAGAACCCATGCCCCTACAGGATGACGTTCGTTTTCGTATGTGTCAAGTAGTGTAAGATCTACCGGGTCTTTGTTGGATACTGCCTCCTGTCGAATCGTTGTTGCGAGTTTCCAACCTAGATTCATGGCATCACCGAGGCCGACGTTCAAACCTTGAGCTCCGAGTGGCGAGTGAATGTGAGCCGCGTCACCAGCGAGGAGAACTCGGCCCTTGCGGTAGCTTGTAGCTTGCTTCGATCGATCAGTGTACGAGGATACAAGGTGTACAGTTGTGATTTTCAAGTCTGTGATTCCCGTCACTCGGTTCATCACGTCCTGAAGGTGCTCTTTCGTGATTTCCTGCCTTCGATCAAATATAGCACCATCAAAATCCACAAGATGTAAACAGTCCGTTCCTGCGACGATATACATGCCAGTTTTGGTAACATGGAATCCGGGTCTCAGTTTTTCTGGGTGGTTGAAATCACACTTGATTGCATAACCTGTGAATCTCGCTTCTGTTCCAACGAAATCAAAATGCGCAGCCTTCCGAACTCTGCTTTGTCCACCATCACACCCTACGAGCCATCTACCGCTATAGAACGCATCATCAGTGGTCTTGACTGTGACTCCGATTTCGCTTTGTGCTACTATTTCGGTCACAGCTTTATCCCTGAGAATGGCAACTCCCAAGCTTTCTGCGCGCTCGATCAACACCGCTTCAATTTTTTTGATGGTCGTCGGGCCAGGTGTCAAAGCTGGCCCAGGAAGGCGGTATTTCCAACGGTCAAGCTCGAGGTTGTTGGCATTGAGCATGATGCCACCGAAGTGACCACCAAACTGGAATCCAGCAGTCTTCCGAATCGTTGAAGGCCGATCCTCACCATCAAATAACTTATCCAGCAACCCTCGCCGGTAAAATGCTTCAACGGACGGCGTGTTTAGTCCTCGCCGTCCTAATGGCTCAATTTTCCAGGGTGATTCCGATTTGGGGTTGCTCTCCAATATCAAGACGGAGGTACCTCTTAATCCTAGCTCACATGCCAAGAATAATCCAACAGGTCCTCCACCAGCAATAATAACATCGTAAACCTTAGCCATCTTTTGTTGCACTTTTCTTCGGGTTTGACAATTAAGCGAGAAGTAAATTCTTATTGATTCCTTGATACCTATGATCCAGGCTGATGTAAAGGAAGGATTGAAAGACACTGAAAACCAACATCAAAACGAGCACCGAGTCCTATAGTGTACAGTATTATTATACTCCTACCATCGGGCTATCCTATTTCCCGAAGATAAGGGACCGTGTATCCCACGACATCGGTCGCTTGAAGACGGGCATTAGAACAACCCGATCTTAATTTTGTAAATATATTGCCTACCGTTCGTACCAAAGAGAACAATCTATCTGACAGTACTGGAGAATCCTTAGAGAATCGAATTTACGGAGATAGTCAGAAACGTTAAGTCAGCCATTGAGAAGTGCAAAATTTCGTCAAAAATATTTTGCAAATCCAATTCTCGACGCGACGTCTCCAAATTTGGCAAAAAGAATTGTCACAAACACAGGGGTGATAGACACCGAACTATTTGACCTACGCAGGGATCGAACCTGCAATCTCTTGATGCCAACAGCGTAGGAGTTGTTCAACTCCCGAGTGTGTCGTAGTCAAGCGCCTTGCCATTGGGCCAGCAGGCCAGTACCTTCGAGATAGATATCCATCTAATTCATGGACACTTCTGGTAAGGAATCAATAGTTGTTTGTACCATTTGATAAAAGCAATATAATTTTTGAATAATATATTGACCATTCTGTGGCTCGTTGTAAATGTGGGGTGGAAGGAAAATTTTCCTTTCTTTTGTGGGCTGCTTGATGGAGGGGCTCGAGAGGGGCTGAGAGGGGCAATTGATTAGGTCAATGCTTTGTTCTATGACTGTGAATTAATTGAAGGTTAAAACCGAAGAATGTCAATACACATAAAAAAAATTCCCTGAGGATCATCTGTTCATAAATTTTATTTGTTGAATATTATTATATACATTGCAAAGTTAAGAAGTTGACAAGAGGTATCGTTGTTAAACATAGAATAGTACTTAGCACACACCCCATTAAAACCATTATTTGACCACCGAATCCCTCCGAAAATTACTATCATTCGTTATTCATACCTCCACCATGCAAAAGGCCATTGCTTTAAATGATCGACAAGTCGAATGTTGGCGAATCAGGTGTGACCTCAATAATTGCTGGACCAGCAATGATGTTGGAATCAGTCAAGGTGCCAGAGTTGTCATTGGTCAAGAAGGCATAACTTTGTCCCGAGATGTTCATTGGAACTGCAGTCATGATCAAACCGTCACTGCCGACCTGGCTTTCAACAGAGATACTGTCGAGTCCGCTCACAAAGGTAGTATAGAAGGTTCCGGAAGGAGCCGTCTCTGGTACAAGGGCAAGATTGGCGCCTGGTGCAGTAGGCAAGCCAGACTTGAGGACGAGAGATGGGTAGGCCATTACGGGCAAGGCAGCGTTGGTAGATGGGCAAGAGACGATAAAAGATGACGCGATGGAGTAGACGGCGTTCAATCCAAGGGGTGTGGCGAAAGGATTAGCCATTGGAATTTCACCATTCGCGTTACGCTCAGCAGATTGATGCAAAGCTTCGGTGGCAAGTATAGACGCAGCTGCGGTAAGGTAGGCCTTTGATGTGATATCGGCTGCTGCTCCGAGGTAAGCGGAAACACCGACACCCTCAATGACGGAAGCGAGAGCAACGAATGATTTTGGATCCGTGAATGGAAATTTGTATTCACAAGCTTGAACAGGGGTAGCACCTGCAGCGGTGAGGCCACTTTGAAGATAGACAACATGTGCTTCTTCATCATGCGCAATGTACTTCAACTGATTGTAGAAGGATGAGGTGAAGTTTGCATCAAGCCACATTTGTTCTGGCATTTCACTGAGAGCCTTCTTGTAAAATGCATCCTCGAGATGTTCGAGCGTCAAGGCATATTGGAGGATGTCCGCATCGGTTGGCGCTGCTTGTCTTTTTGCTGGAAGAGCCGATGCAACGCTTAAGATGCTAGCAATAGCGGCAATGGTGGTGCTAGAGAATAGCATGATGATTGTGGTTAATTGGAAGAGAGATTCGAATTAGACAATCGTTGATTGTAAGTAGTTTAATTGGAAAATGAAGAGGAAGGCAGAATTGTTTGTTGGTTAAGGACTGATAACAGTAGGATAAACAAGCACTTATATAGAGTTAGCAATTGCCATGACGATGATAGACTTTTGTCCGGTCATTGATCTTTCCGAATTATCCTTTGACTTCCTACTGCAATCCTCCATATCGACCTTGAAAATGACTCTATCAGGTAATAGATTCGACCGGCAATACGCCAGGCCGTGACACTAATCAATAGTTCCCGAACCCCAAAGGAATCAACATATGGGATGATGGGAAGGAGACATGGGGAATTGCAAGATGTCGATAGTAGGATTAGTCTCAAATGGCCAAGGGATCATCTGTCTTTGTTGAATGTTAAGTTGATGTATTTCCAGTCTACCTCGAGTCTACCTAGTGGTCTAGCTAGCCTCGGGAAGAGTGTTAACCGGATGTTCAAAATTCCGGAATGATTTGAACCATACTGAATTCGTACTCAATCACCAATATTAAAGTTACCTTGGAAGAATGATATTGATGACATTGGTGAAAATGGCGACCGATATCGGTGAAAATGGTGATATTGATGATGTTGTTGACATTGGTGATAATGATAACATTGGTGATATTTGCGATATATTGAGATTTGAGACAGATATCTCAAATATAATTTGCTACATCATTGAATGATCAAAACCCGATTAACAAAGTGACAGCTGCAAAGGTTCAATATGGATAAGCGTAAAAGGAGGTAAGGGTCCTGACACTACATCCATATCTAGCTCGCCTAGGTAGTTTACTATACTCGAGTATTGACCAGATGGTTAGCATAACAAATATGGAGAGCTTGGCTTGCACCTTGCATCACTCCCAAACTTTGAGCTCCAAGGTAGGCAAGCTGGAGGAAAGCCCCTTCTCGTTTTTGGACTGGGTGTCGTAAAGCCAAGTCGCTTTAGATCACATTGTCTCTGTGTTACACATGTCGATCTTCAATGATTCTTCGTTGGCAACGGCTGAATGAGTATGTTGGAGCGGCTTCAGTAGTTCCCGAAGCATATTACATGGTATTTTACGTGTTCCTGTTCCTGTTCCTATTGCTGTTCCTGGTCCTAATCATAGGAGGTAACTGAACTAGGTAGTGGCGATACTTTAGGAAGTTGAAATAACGAATGAGAACTTTCCAGTGATTAACCTCAAGCGACGATCATTCCAAATGTTGGCATGTTGGCACCTGCAAGTACGATGGGTGCTGCCGGTATATACCCATATACCGACCGGTACACGATAGATGATGCTATCATCGAAATCAACTTGCGTCTTCTCCCACAACAATCATTAATCAGTAATTAGTAATTAGTAATTAGCAATCATTACTCTCGTATCTCCTCCCAGATACCAGAAAGTAGATACTCGTATAATAAATCAATTTAAAAGTACCGACCTATTGATTGTTCGATGTTGATTTATTAGATATAGATAGAAAATAGATAGAACATTGCAAAGTACATGTTCAGACTCAAAACAATTTCCTTTGATTGGAACCTTCCTATCTTGGTCAAACTAGTTCCCGTCGGAAAGAACCCCATCCGATCTTTGGGGCGAAGCTAACTATATAGTCACGTGCTATCAAACCACATCTGCACCTCCTGCCCCTTTTCACAAGAAATGTCATCACTCGCCGATACTTTACACGCTTACACGCTTACTAGGCGTGCTAGGTAGGTATGTAAGTGTACTAACGTGACTAGGTAGGTATTAGTTTAGCTAATTAATATCATGTACTCATCACATCCTCGCATATCACTTACTTTCTTTCAACTCATCTAGTAACCGCTTTCGATCTGCTCTCAACTTTGTTTTCACGCCAGTCAGACTTCCTATGAGCGTGGCTAGATGTCACATCCACACTTCTAATATCGCCTACAAATAAATAGACCCAGAAGTTGATTAGGTCATTATTTGAGTATCCTGTCTTCTCCAATATCAGTATCATAATTATTTGTTGCATGTCTACAGCATATGCAGCTAATTCCTTCGCGGCTGTGGCACATGAGACATGGAGATTGTGCCAACTTGAGGGCGGCAATTGACAATGGAATTCAGCAAAATCAGACCTCTCCTCCTCCTCGCGATTTGAGCTTTCCAACCTTGGCAACTTTAAAAAATGTGGTGAGGGGGATATGCCGATTTTGCTTGTTGACTTGTCCTTGTTTCGTTGTTATCTTTTGTGTAATGATGATTTGTCACCCAAAGTTCTCATGTACAACCAATCGCCATCAATGAATTTTTCATTAGATACTGCTCAAATCATATACCACACCCACCTTGGCTTGATAGTTTGCTTCGTTTCAACCGATGTATATTGGTCGATTTAGAATTGCAGTATTATTTAACTTTCAACCCCAAATCACCCAACCGATCTTCCCTCTTTATATGTTTCCAAAATCAGATGAGGACTCTAAATCCAAAGATTGGCATGAGAGAGGAATGTAATATGATGAATGACCCCATATAGTGTCAGAACCTTGTTATCAATCTCGGATAGAGGATATATTTATGTGGAGTTCTTTGCACTACTTCTCAGTGGCGCAATCTATTGACGAAGGACTGCACTTACAAGGAGGTTTGCCCGATTTTCACCCTTTTATGCCGCTCAAGCCTTTTCAGTACTTCCATTGAGATGAAAAAGGCCGCTTTACTCTTTACTCATTTCAATTTCCTCTGGGTCCTAAATGGAGCCACTAGCTTCGAACCATTCAATCGTGAGATCTTGCTCACAAGTTCTTGTTCCTACTTTCTCTCTTCATCTTGAAGTGCGGCGCTCACGATACTTGCAGACTTTTTCTTGAGATCCTCGCTCTCTTCCATACTCAACAGTTTATCCACGCTCAAGGCTTCTTCCTTTTGACTCGGAACTCGTCTGCTGGCTTCTTTGCAAATGAATCCGCCCTTGTGCCGTCTCGACCACCATCTATTTCTCCCAGAGTAATTATCTGCTTTGACCTTCACCTTTTTATGATGCCGTGTACGATCTTATTCCAGCTATCCACATTGCTTCTCTACTTCACTTTTATCATTGGGCTTTTAGATTCAATCGATCTTCTGCATTGCACAAGCAGCGATTTGACTACAAGACAGGGTGGTGCCAAGAGGTACCGAAGAGAACCTGTGCATTCATATGATGCTCAAAGTGGTTGTTTTGGAGCTTCACGCTTGGAAACATGCTTTCCTTTTCTTCGGTGTATTGAACATGTGTAACTCGATTATTTAGCCGTGCTTGATGTCCTTGATGGAGAAGTTGGAGTGGCTTTAGAGTTGTCTTCATCAGACAATCTCGACGATTTTCCTATAGTAGTGGCAAAAACGGGTGCCTGATGTTCTGATGTATGTGCTTTTTGATGTGGATTATAAGGTAAAGTTTCAGTTTCATTCTGGCTCGTCTTTTGAGAACCGCTTTATCAATTTCAGGATCAAAGCTGGCAGTGTTACTTAAGTCGCGTCTCCCAGCTATGATCCCATGCAACGACGTGAATGGGCCTACCGATTCTCCATCTCGTAACCTACTGCCATTCTTTTCTTTCGTCGGCCTCGTGAGTGGTTCTGTGAGGTTTCCCCCACTCGTCGAACGAAACGGATGGTCTCCGAGGCTACCTCTAGAGATTTCACTCGGGACTTCCGCAGTGTATCTTGCATTCTATTCCTCCAATCTCGAACCTTCTTTCTTCACCAATTCACCAATTTCCTCTTTCGTCGGTTTCCGATTCATCGATTGCCAAGTTGATGATATTTTTTCCCTCACAACATGTTCTCTACCTGCCAGAGTTTCTTCACTTCAACATTGCGAGGTGAAAGCAGAACTTGTTCGTTATAACTGACTGTTGATCTGCAGTGATGTATAGGGTGATGCAGCCATGGATTTTTGGGGCGGTTTGTCTACTTGTCAAGAGAGTACTGAAATCCAGGAAGAATTTTAACCTCGGAGTAAGTCTAACAAAATGTCAGAATGGCGGATGAAAGGCGAAGCAGTACCCAGAGCTAATTTCGTTGATATAGAATTCAACACAGGAGGCAATTCAAAAGTTAGTAACGAGCATGTCTCGGTAGCGAAGACCGAAGTGATTTGAAATGAGCCACCGTGAATAGCTGGGCGCGGAGAAAGTGGGTCTCAAATATGCTTTTGCAATATTTGAAATCAACATGTACGCTCGCCAAAGAATAATATTTCGATGTTATGACTGGTTGCGGAGGAATAAGTTACAGTTACAAGCATTGTAGACCTCACTATTGCAAAGTATGATATCAAAGTGTTACTGCAGAAACCATCCCAAAACAAGTACCTCATTTTTTGGGTAGCCTCACAAAGAATTTACTTGCCTCCTTGCAAGCTCACTTGAGCTTTGCAACCCAGCCATGGATGGATGCTGTATTCATATATTCAATTCGAAGTGATAAGGTAATTTCAAAATTAGAGGCCTTCAAATTTTCACTACCGACCAGGGCCGATCTGCTCTAGTAGAGTCTTTTGCACATTGCTTGTGGAAGTCATTTCACCCGAGGCCTTTTAATATAGAACCAAACAGATACGTCAGAAAAAAGGGAGTGCGATACACTAAATTTTTGAACATACTCTAGACATTGACCCACTGTCGTCTAATCCACATCTTGCAACTTATATGCAGTGTTCAAATAGCACATCAACAAAGGAACGTTTCTAAGGACGGGGATTTGCCCATATTCCATGTCAACCAGTCGAACTGCAGCCTTCACGCCTCAGGGGAAACCCGAGGAGAATACTGCCAAACATACCTCGAAGCTAATGTGCGTGTTACTTAAAAGCTCCACAGTAATATCTACCTACCTGTGCTGATCGAGAACCTTCATCCACCCAGTCTTCTTTAGGTAAACGCAGTAGAAGTAAATGCCTTTGATTTTAGTTTCGGTATAATGGCAAGAGATAGATAAAGTGCCGTGCTACATGTCTTCCTTAAATATTTTAACTCCGTTGACCTGCTGCACCATTTGCTGCGCCTAGTTTCCTCACCCGGCAGTAGTATTCCCTAGATAGTAGCATTAAGAAAAATATTACACCCACGCCATGCTACTAAGTCTGTAACGTGCCCTTCGATCTCTCCCTTTCTCGCTCGAGGCAGGCGCAGTAGGTATCAGGGTTGGCATTTTCAAAACTTTGTAGGGTGTCGAAAATGCATGCCATCCGCGAGTGCCCTGAAATCTCGCAACAATTGCGACATATAACTCTAAGTTATACCTCTAAGCTGTTGTGTACGAAGCCTGGCAAGTGCCAAGTTATTGTCCGTTCGTCGATGCATGTATTAATATTAACACCTGATACAATTAAGTCTCACGACAAATCTTTGGTGGTGACTGGTAACCGGTGGTTTGTAAATTGAATTTTATGCTTCCCGGTCACAGCAATGTGATTGTCGGGAATCTTTTCTAACATGCGTAATGCAGGGCGATCATAGGAAGCCTGATTCAGCCAACACCCTGTCGTTCGTGTAAGTATAGGTCTAACATCGGTTTCATGCTCTTATAAATGATTGCTATCAAGAGTGTAGAACGTACCTAACTATCTTCTCGTCCTCACGCTCTCTTGGCTCGACTGCTAAACTCTTTTCATACATTTCATGTACATCTCCCGCAGCTTGCATATTGGTTAATATATATTCTTGAAGTTCCGGGACTGGCTGCAAGCCGTACGGGACATTCTGATATTGCTGAATGTCGCGAATGACTTCAGCGGTCTTTGCTCGTTTGGCAAAGTTAATCAATGTAGTTTTCTTGATGATAGAAGGTATACCATCCTCGATGAATGTAAGATCGGTAAGGTACACACCTAGAGATGTTAGCTCGCCATAGTGCATCAGATGAGCAATTAGAACTTACCGAAAAAGGGTATACATGGGGGATTGGCAAGATGCAAACTTTCTCTATATTCTCCGAAATTCTTTGTGCTGCCCATAAGGCGACGCATGGATTCCAGTATTGCCAAAGTTTTGGCTGGGACTTGATCCCAGGTTCTTTTCAGGCGATGGATTGGTGCCGTACCGAGCGCAGAGATGATAGAAGTGAGAGTTGAGTAATTGTTTAAAGTACGGCATTTCTAGAGTAAGTTAGGAAAAGTGAAGGTAGTCAGAAAAAAAATACTTACATCGGCAACAAGAACGAAATGTTTGATGACGACAACGCGCTTTTTGACATCGAGTTGCGTGAGAATCATTTCAGCGACCCAATTCGTCAACTGATTAGAATGTAGGATCAGAGCCTTAACATTCGGCGCAGGCTCAGGGTCGTTTTCGCCAACTTTCTTCTGCCAAGTTTTATTCAAGCATTCCGTGGGTTTGATCTTCCCATAAAGCTTCGACTCGACAATAGTAAGTTGACGTGCAAATTCTGTTACATCAATATCCAAGAATTTAAGCTTCTTCATGTTTTTGGGCATGATTGGTTGTGGCGTCGAATGGTTCAAGGTCAAGACTAAACGTTTGGCTGTAGCTTCCTGTCCCCGTAACCGTTGTTCCAAGAGAGTCATCAACGAACCGGAACCTGGCGTTTCAGTAGCTTTCACAGTGTCTCGAGCAAAAGTGTAGACGTTGGCTATGAGAGCTTTGGTATCGTCACTTTGATCCTCCATCCAGAAAAGTTCAAACCATGATTTCAGAATGTTGACAACTCGAAATCTGATTGGCTTTTGTTTTCGGGATACCCATGTTTCATAGTCTCCTGGGGCATACCTTCAGGGGGCTGCACCTGAAAGCGCTTCACCAAATGCTCGAATAATTCTCTCGCATTCGTAAAAGACCGATACGTGAGTAAAAAGGTGTTGTTGAAATCCGAGCTCAATTTGTCGTGGCGTGTAAGCTGCTCAACCAATGCTACAAGTGTACCGCCCTTCAAGATAGGAGGCTGGACTTTTGTATCGTAGGAAATATCATCTTCGTGGTCAAGCTTCAAGCAGTCTGGTGTCTCGTCTGGGGCATCTCTTCGAGTTGGCTCTTCGCCAAAGAATTTCCTGACTTTAGAGTTCTCCTTTCGAAATGGTGGAAGAACTGTATCACCTTCAGAGTAAGTTTGTGACTTACCAATATCTGCAAGGCTAGGACGGAGTGATGGATTCCGGGAGTCTGATCGTTGATGGAGTCGCTCGTAGGGCGCGCTATCACCTCTCCGTAAACTTTTCGCCCTTTCTTCGAGAGGCAAAGCCTGCTGCATAGCTGTTTGAACAAGCTCACCAAGAAGTTGCAATGAGAAGCCAATATGAGATGAGTTTGTTTCCAAAGATCTTGAACACGTGCGCACATATATCAACCGCCCTTCCAATGACTCCCCACGGACTTCCGCCCACTCATCACCTAAAGGCCCAGCTACAGCCTGACATCCTAGCAATAAATCTGATATGTTATCGTATAAACTTTGCTTCTGTTTGGCAAAATCAATAAGTTGAGGATTTTGGAATGTATCGCCAAGAGAAGACAAGTTGATAGATTCAACTGTAGACACCCAAGGCTTGAACATCTCGAGAACTTTTTGCGCGGCTGCACAAACATTATTACCAATCAGTTCGTGTCTGTAAGGGGTGATAATTTTGTCGGTGAGTACGAGATGCTCCTCCAATTTTCGAATGCTAGATGTTAGCATTCTCTTCAAATCATCGAGTCTCTCCATCAACTTTGCATCTAAAATCGCAGAAGGTTCAACGACATTCTCATCTTCGTCGAGAAAGTTGGACGTTAGAGGGTCTCTAGATCCAAGCCCATTATTTTGCCAACTACCACCAATAGTGCTACCAACGACAAAACCAGGGAGTAATCGTGGTATGTCCTCGCCGCGCTGCTGGCGGGCGACCTCAACGTAGCTGAAAACGCCTAGAAGTACGCCATCCGCCTCCTGCAAACATTTTTGATATGACTCCGAATTGGGCCAGTCAGAAGCAGCAATGTGTGACGAAATAACTAATTTCGAGAATTTTGACATCATGTCCCGAAAGTGGGGATACAGGGCTTTGTTAGTAGAAATGATAGAAGGCTGGCCAGAATGATTATCCGTAGTACCAGATCCAGCAGCCAGTAATAGTCGGAGGTGATCGGAAATATCTTCAGCTCGGCGAACGTACTCGGAACGATCATGGTTGTTGATTGCTTCGCGATAGCGATCCACAGCTTTCTTCATATTTGCAACGAGTCTATTCCATGTCAGTGGCGCAGCAGATCCATCATCAAAGAATGATCGAGGCAAAGTAGCAGCGTGTGGTGGGCCAAGAGCAGGAGTCGTGAAAGAAGTTGTAGATGGGCCCATTATCGGCATTGCTGTTAGGGATACATTCGGTGTGTTGAACGTGTCGGCTCGTGAGCGAGTGCCAGGAGATGTGCCGTTGATTGAGTCCATGGAGGTAGCTGGTGACACACCTTCCGATAATTGAGATCTGCGTTTCTTCCGTGGCTGAGAGATGTTAGCAGGTACAATATAGCCATACTGAGTAGGCAACATACGAAGGAGGATTTAGATGCGAGCATTATAGACTCTCCATCGAGCTCAGATGCAGAATTGCCTTCCGATTCATCGTCTGTTTCATTTACATATCCTCGCGCCATCATTTCTGGTGGGGGCCTTGTTTTCTCCGGTATACTGACATTCATCCGATCTCTCGGTCCCATTTCCGTTGACGAAGATGGCGATTCCAACGGTAGCTCCATACTACTCTCGCCAGTCTCCGTATTGAAATAGAACAATCTACCATCAGGAGTCGCTTGAGGTATCCAGAAATCCGCCCCTGATCTTCCATTGCTGTTCACACCGGTTGCAGGCAAGTGTGAAAAGTCGTCACGTTCTGATTCTTCGCCCTCATCATCGTACTGCTCTTCGTATTGTTCTTCGTCGTCTTCGTCGTCGTCGATATCATCATCTATACCCATTCCAGCCCCATTCGGCTTGCCGTCCAGGACATCATCAGGGCCCGATACAACCTGGCAGTAATTACTGGGGAACCATCCCCTCACACCATTTATGACTCCATCCCACCAACCACTTTCTAATTGTGTGATCACTTGTATTACATCCCCCTCGTGAAAACTAAGACTTGTTCGGTCGTCGGCCTCGTAGTCGTATAGCGCTCGCACATACATATTTGTCTGCGGAGCGTTTCCCAACAACCCATTCATAAGTGGCGATGGTTTGCGCGTTGTAGCGATTTGAGGTTTCTATATTTTCTTCGAGGTAATATTGAACGTGGGAGTGTATCTGCCGTTATAGCAAAGTCGATTCTCCCTATGCAATAGAATTGGTCGTATTACTCGAGTGGGAAGTTGCGAAGGTATTTCTTTCTGAATATGTTACCGAGACCACGGTCTGTGTCATTCATTAACATTTTCAACTCATGATTAGTCGTTCCAAGTAGGTGTACGCGCTTTTGAAAGTATAAGATATATATTGGATATGAATGTTGCAGAGGAGGGGTATGGTTAGGTAGTTTGTCGGGTGTTGTCGATCAATTTCGATAATGATTGGAGAGACTTCGGGCGGTTATGGTTATAGTCAGTGGAACATCGATTAGCTGAACGATAGAGAGGATGTAGTTCGATTACCACACCATTCATGTGCCTGTGTGCCTGTGTGTGTGCGTGCGTGTGCGTGTATGTGTGTGTATGTATATATGGACAGAGAGAGAGAGAGTGTGTGATATTTGATATACGGTATATGTATGGTATATGGTATTCAGAAATCTTCAAATGAAGTCGAAAGGAATATCATAAAGGTGGGCTATTGTAGCAGGGCAGATTTGCCTTGTTATCGCCAAATTTCGCAAATCGCAGTAGTGGCTTTGGCGTTGAAGGGATTGTTTCAACGAGGTACACGTTTAGCACGCTGGAGTTAAACTCGGAAAGGTGTAGTGGTGTAGGGTAGGGAGTAAATAGTGTGTGTATATACAGGGGTCCACCAGTCTTTTGATAGAAAAAAATAATAAGATTTTGATGTTCGAAATCAGCGATTTGGTTGGTACCTTAGGTATCTGTGTGTGGTAGTAGAAGTAGTAGTAGTATATTATACATATATATATATATATGTCTTGCTTTTCGTAGATATAATTGTAGCATATATTTTTCTTTATTTTTGATGTAAGTGACAGTGTCGATGTGTGAATGAATGAAGATGAGGTAGGTACTAGGCAGGTACTACTCGAGTATGTATCTCGGGATACAAAGATTTGATTTGTCAAGAGAACATGTGGGTAAAGAATGAAAGAAATGATAAAATGAAGAGTGAAGAGTGAAGAGTGAAGAATCAAGAGTCAAGAGTCAAGAATCAAGAATCAAGAATGATAGAATATTTTCAGAGAAAACGTGTGAAGAGAAGGTATAGTATACTATAGTTAGCATACCTAGTAGTCAAGTAGATTGATTACATTATTGATAATTGGGGAGAAGGGGGGAAGGGGAGCATGTGGATATCGGCTCGGATATCCATTGGCGGAATTGAAACACAGAGTAAGGTAACCGACCTTGGTGGTGAGCAAGTCTTTACTTCATAGATAGGTGCTCCGTAGGTATTGGACAGGTAAATAGAACATGCTAATAATTTATAACCAAGTTGATGAGTATCTACCTAGGTGATAATCTATCTAGTACCTAGGGGCCGACAGAGCAGTCTCTTGGGTTTGTTTCTAGGTCGAATAATATAATACACAGAGAGAGCTCCAGGCAAGTAACAATAATTGCATATATCCTCCTTTGGTCCTCATCTGGAAACGTTCGATATCCAATATCACGAAAGAGACGGTTCAGAGTCTCATGGTGTTGCAATGTACGATGTTCTACCTACCTACCTACCTACCTACCTACCCAAGTAGACAAACGTCAATAATTAATGAGTAACTACCATCAGGTTCGACATTCTCTTTCACTACATCCTGCTGCGGTGTCATCAGTCCTGGTGCCATGTGGGAAAGAGGGCATTGCCACGAGGCAAGTCATCACGACATGTATCAGTCACTGCGAATCTATGTAATCAGGAATTTCGTCAACAATCACCAAGCACTACCTACAAGACAAACTCGATTCAGGATAGCCGTCGTCAACTACACTTTACCAAATTCGTTCTTGGCCCTTCCGGAAATTATCAGGTAAGACTGTGAAACGGTACTTGCTGCGATACTAGGTAACCTCTTTTGGCACATTCCTTTACCCTAACAATGAAGATTGCCCCTCGCATTCCTTAATCTGCGAGGAAAATTTGCCTGTTCTCCTCCCAAGCCCGTTGAGATAAAATGAGGGTTCTATTGAAAGTCAGGAGGAACCTCGCCCATTACCAGGAACGATGCTCGATTCGATTTTAGTGCATTGGATCCATGACAGTGCAGTAACCACACGCAAGTAAGAACAAATTAGAAATTATGTGCCCAACCAATCCTAGATGCGCTTTCCACCAGATCTTGCGGGTCGGTATCGCATCTCATCACGTGAGATACAATACCCAAACGTTCTCTACTCTGATGGAAAGCTGGTGGAACACTTGACATATCAGATGAACGGATGAAGGGTTTGACGAAGCCACGGCTAATAAGTGCGCAGGATTCCATGGCACTTGGCCGATTCTCTATGCTCCCAACTTTGACAAGATATTGCGCCTCTCATGTACATGAGGAGATTCGGGCCGACCGAGAATTCGCGTTGTTGACGACTGTAAGATTTGGTGGTTGTTGAATTACCATTTTTGATATGTCTACTGGTCTTCTATTAACAATATGATCATCGTTTGTTTTTGTCCTTCAAAAACTCATTAGGCGTATACTGAGGGTGACCTTGCTCAGGTGCTTACATTTCTTTAGAACCCCTCATCCTCCTTTGAATCTATTTCTAATCATCAACTTCCTCGCCAGTAAGCATTGCAACCCTTTGTGCTCCCCTCCCACATAATCGAACTAAGGGGTTACGCATCTATCGTGTGAGATGTAGTCACACCCAAAAAAGGCAACAATGCCATTCCTGTTCACTAGTGTCAAAGTGATACTGTTGCAAATATCAAGGTTTCAGCTTTCCAGTTCAGGTGGGGGGCATCACCGTTTTTGCTTCTAGAATGATTCTAGAAGGAGGGTAGAACAGATGAAGGAAGATAGGAATAAGGAGATCAGGACCTTCTGTTTTAGGAGTGGGGTGGAAGTGCGAAAGTACTTGTAGTTTCATCTGGCTAGGGGTATGGAGGGGTTTGCGATAAGGTGAGATTGTAAAGGCATGAAGAGAGTACGAAAGACCATTTACTGGTACCTACATAATATATGGTACTGACCTGCTAAAGTCTCAAGATCGCAGTTCATGCGAGGATGATGTGTTGCCGTGCGTGTTCAATTTCCGAAGTTCTGGAATCAGATCGCGACGCCCGAAGTGCAAGAGTAAGTATTTCATCATCAAAGTCTGCTTAGCTAAGATCGTGTTGCATAAGTAAATATGCGACCAGGTCTTCTCGAGATGAGACTTTTCGATATTTTTGGAACTTGACAATACTGTATGTAGTACCTATTATAACCAGCGATTCGTACTTTCGTATTTAGCTCGAAGTGTTCATCCGAGTCCAATTTCGGACATCGGAAACTTGGGTTGACCGAACACCCTTGAAACACACGCACGCTTTGCAATGAGAATAACAATATGTTTGAATAACCAAGCACGACCACGTTGAAATGCAGATAGGAAAGTAACGAGGTGTAGTAGTACTGGAAGAGGGGTTCCATACCAAGCAACAGTTGTCTAGGTAACAATCTCAGCGGTGAAGTTTCTTTCAACTATCTGCGGTATCAGTAGAGTTTGTAGTTGCATAAGTTAGATTGATGAATGTCTTGTTTGTGCATTGTACAATTTGGCCATCTTGCTGATCCCATTTTTGTGATAACGCACCTGGCGGTGTCGTGGGTGCATAGATTCCCATGTCGAAGTCGAGGTTCTGGATTTCTTCCCAACTAATCGGTGAAGGGGGTGCCACGTGAGCCGCCTGCTAGAACTCAACGTGGTAACATACCGTAACGAATAGCAGGTCTTGGTTCATACAAATATTGCTGGAAAAGTATGGGTGGCTCCTTGCTATGGACGATCTTATTCATTCTAGATGTTACCGGATAGCCTCCCCCGAATTGGCGGACTGAAAACACGAGGACCCAGAAATCCGTCTCCTGGATTTTTAGTACCCGTTCCTGCCGTGAAGTTGTCTCATTTCCTCAAGTTTGATTGGATGTCAGTGCCTCGAAATAATCAAGGCGGACTGATGAGGGACATGGCAGATTTATACCATCCCTGAATATTCCACTCACGAAATGTGAAAAGAAACATCAAAATTGATTATTTATTGCGTTTATTTGCATAGAGAACCCACTGTCTCGGAGGGCATTGACCGGTGAGGGATGATTTCGGCATTGGATCCAGATTGAGTTAAGTAGGCTGGTGAATTTGATTGGGTAGAATGCTGGCATAGTCTGGTAGAAGTCGTGGAAGGTTATCAAGACGGCTTCCATGCTTTCGATATGAGGGGCAGAAGGAGCCACACCTAGGTTGGGATCTGGATGTTTCTGCAGGAAGAACTTTTCTAAGTTTTTCTTCAATGAGCTTCTTCACCGTTGGTTTGTAATAACATGGTCCAATGCAGCGACTTTGTTGAATCAGTTTTTATGAGCATGATTAATTTTGATAGGCCATCACGAGCCGTCCCGACTCGGGTGCTTTGTTGCTGTATGGTGCAATGGTGCCCTCACCACTGATTCACTGACCGGGGTTTGAAATTGTGCATCCAAATCACAAAGGAGACTCGGTGGGTCCGGGGAAGCGTTCCTAGAACTAGGACCAAATTAGAAAGGATTTTAATGCGAGTGGATGCTGATGATGGTTTATTCGCGTACCTGGCATATCGTTTGTCCTCTAATCGAATAACGGGATCATCCATCAGACTAATGTCTATCTATGTGTTGATCACAAATTATGAGTTAACTTGGATGGACAGTCGAGCATGAAATCATCATTGAATTGATTGGAAATGAAGGGCGACGAATACCAGCCATAAAAGAATAGACAATAAACAGCCAGTAGCTACAGTAACAGATGTGCATATTCTGAACCAATGGGAATCAGCCAAATATTGGAAACGCAATATTGATTATCATGTACGTTGCAATCAAAAGCAG